TCACCATTTGTCTGTAGTTCTTGGCGAATGATTTTCGATGGACGTGTGTAAATGTCAGACGCATTCTTCTTTATTTTGTTACGAATTTGCTGTCATTCTAATTTGTGTTCATCAATATCATGGTTATGTTCATGTGTTCCCGTTAGTAATCGGTCATATATTATTTACCTGTAAAAATGCTGATATTTCTGCTCTTAGATCAACGTTTATACCATATTATTATGTAATCAACCCAAGCATTAACCTATTTGCTGGTCTGCTGTCTATAAGTAACGTACAAGTGCAAAAGAATTATCAATTTTCGTAAAGAAAATAATGAAATACTTTAAATAATTATATCAATTGTCTTTTATAACATATTATGTATTTGTGTTTTGTCTGTCCTGTCTCGCCATTTATTATATCTTATGTTAGTAATTATATTGTCCTCTTGTACACCTGTATGTGTTTGAGGTTATGAATAAAATCTTGAAAATCTTGAATGTCAGTTCTTATTCTACATTTGCACCTTGTTTACTCGTTCAATGAAAATGGACGTCACACCGAACTCCAAAACATATAAATGAACTGAAATTAAAAAACATACAAGACTAATAAAGGCCAGAGGCTCCTGACTTGGGATAGGCGCAAAAATGCGGCGGGGTTAAACATGTTTTGTGAGATCTCAACCCTCCCCCTTTACCTCTAGTCAATGTAGAATAAACAAACACACAGAAATACGCACAGTAAAATTCAGTTTAAAAGAAGTCCGGGTCCGATGTCAGAATAGGTAACAAAAGAAACTAAGCAAAATGACAATGATACATAAATTAACAAGGGACTACAGTAGCAGTTACTGACATGCCAGCTCCAGACCTCAATTAAACTGATTGAAAGATTATGTCTTCATCATATGAATAAAGACACCAACAAGAGTTGTGTTAGGTCATTCGGAATTCCGGGAAAATAGCAATATAAGTCGTACCTAGGATCAAATAAGTTCTTTAACCAAAGGATCAAATAAGTTCTTTAACCAAATATTTAGATATATTTTATAAAATTGACTGTTCCCGCGACAACCAGGGCTGATATGCATAAAACCACTTTTAAAAGTTAAGATATCCAATCGTAGTACTAATTTATCGTAGGACATGTAAAAGAATCCTTTCGTTCGGAACAAATCTGACCTTTAGTAGTTTTATGCATATCAGCCCTGCAAGGGCTTTATTCAAGGCTGAAGCCAAGTCATTTTAAATATAATTTTAAAGTCGGCGAATGCATGAATAAATATTTTATTGAAGAAGTAAATTGTTAATTGTCTAAAAATATATTTAAAATTCCCTATGTAGTTTAAAACAAAAGATTATGTAAACAAGCAATTTGCTTTTCATTTACAGTAAAGTTAATTTTATACTGTATTTTGTGTAACAGAATAATATAAAAAAAAACTTTCAATGATATTCAGGGAGGAACAAACTATTCCGGATAAATATGGCTTTATCCAAACCACAGCTAGGAATACAATCTCCAATTCAGTGCCAGTTATATGAACAGAATCCTTAAATATCCTGGAAATTTGGAATGTGACTTATTGATATGCAGTGTATGTAAGAATAACATTCATCCTAAAATAAAGACTGCCGGGAAACATAGGATCATAGCTTTTAATGATATTGGGACTACATCAGCCTATAGCACGAATAGCAATGTTGGTATAACTGTTGTTGAAGGATATCAAACCAAATTAAAAGGGGTTTTTCAATTGTCTATGTCTGTAGATGATTCATTATGGATTGGGGATAAAGACCGTAAAAAGGGAATAAGATTGTTTACTTCCCATACAGGACTGCAGAAGGTAAAATGTGAAGGAAGCAAGCTTAAAGTGATATCTATAGTTTTAACATTCAGGTTTATGATATGGCTATTACTCCTGGTAATGATTTATTAATAGCTACTGATAGACCGTTACTTAAACAGATCAAAAGTGGTGAGACTAAAATTTTAGACACTGTCTATTCTTTAGATCCACACCAGCCAGCATCCATTTATGTTTCTAAAGAAAATAAGGTGAAAGTAGGAACTTATGTTACGGAAGACAAAGGAATGGTAATAGTAATGGACCATACGGGAAAACACAAGAAACGGTGTATGGTGAGGAACAGACTAAAGATAAAAAAGAAGATGTGGTATGATTGCTAATGAGACAACTCTCCACAAGAGACAAAATGACACAGAAATTAACAACTATAGGTCACCGTACGGCCTTCAACAATGAGCAAAGGTATTGCACTTACTTTATCATGGAAAATAACTACAACTAAAAATGATACAATTTTTGTGACTGATACAGTGAATGATCAAGATGAAGGAAGAGTGGTGATACTAGGACGTGATGACATTATTAATACATATTCTGGTCATCCAGTAATCAACACTGAAGATACACCATTTAAACCAACAGATTTAACAACAACGCCTGCTGACAATGTAATTGTTGTAGATTCTGACAGCAGCACTCTTCGTATCCTAAATTCTTTAGGACTTTTGATTGCACACATTAACAGTAAAGACAAAAAGATAGCACTGCCATATTCTATAACACTTACAATGAAAGCACATATTGTATACTTTATACAGGAACAGCTTCTACTACAGATAACAGTAAAGAAATTGAAAACAACACGTTTAATAATTTCATGCGTCCGAAGCGCTTTTCTGGATTTACCTTCATCAGGAACGCTCAAAGCCAAACATTTGAAATCCGAGGGATGTATAAGTACCGAAACAGTTGAAGAGCTATATGACAAAAATACCTAAAACAAATAGCCAAATTCATCTAAGGTCAACTTTGCCTGAGGGAGTTGAAACCTTAGTTTCTTTATAATTTCAAAATTTATAAACATACAATTTAAAAATGCAAACTATACAAACTGAATTTACTAGTTGTTAGAAACCAATGATTTGCTTTAAATGTGCAATTACATTCAAATGTGTATTATATATTAACAAATACACTCATGGTTCTTTATCAACATAGCAAATTCTTCCAACGTTTATACCTAAGCTAAGCTAAGCTTCTGCTAAGTTTCTGATTGCATTTTGAGGTCAAAATAAAACCAGTATATATAAAGCTTTCCACGGTATTAACGGTTTTTACTATTTCAAATTTTTGTATTCTTTTTAATTTTTTTTTATCCCAGATTTCTTTGGTATAATTGTGTGTCTGCTGTCCATTTAAGCCATATTATGCAAATTCATTAACTTTATTCTCCAATTCTACCTTTTGTATTCTCTGGTGTATTATTTGTTTTTGATCTTTTGAATGTGTATTTCAGTTAGTATTGATAACAAACCATTGGAGATTATCTATTTGCATGAATTGTTGATTTTTATTAACTATGATATTTACAAAATAATGGTACAGAACAAGTAAGAGTCATTTCTCACTACTGATGGATAGGGGAGTTATGTTAATCTTTTAGTCATGACTCACATGCTACTTAGTAATTGATGTGAATATGGTTTATGCCAGCAAGGTTGCGATCGAGGAAGAACGCCTGAATAATCATTTCAAAATTTCTAAGGTCGCTATCATTAATAGGTTGATCATTACAGTATCTCAGTTTCTTAAAAAAAGGACTGAGATATAAGATACCAAGGGGAGGGGGAATCAAAACTAGCAAAACAAAGAAAAACAGACAACACCGTATGATCAAAAGAGAAAAAGACAAAATGTTTACAATACACTACATAGCAATCTAAGGATTGAACAACGCAAACCCAAGTTAACCAAACGGGGCCGGGTGGACGAAGGTGCTCCCGTATAGGCTAAACAGTTCCTTTCCCTCTAGTGTTACTTTCTGATGACATTTAAACTGTCAATGATTACGATTACTGTCATTTTGCAACAGAATCTGCTTAATATTCACGGAGTGGCAACATAGACTGACATATATACTAGGTGTATGTTTGTCTTTGGTGGCAATAATACTAAAAATAATAACAAAAGAAGGACAAATTTCCCCCAAATGCATTTCACTCTACTTTTTTCAGAAAGTCGATCGTGCAATCATTTTACAAAAATTCGCAGTTACAAAGCTTAATAAGTAAATTTGGTATGGAAAAAATGTGATGTGGGTTATACATCATTGAGACAACAACCCAACGGTGTTAATAATCAAAAGACATAGTCGATAGGTAGCACATTTAACAGAATTCATCAAAGAATTGCCATTAAAACCCAAGTTCTTAAAAATAACGAAAAATATTAAGTTATAATAATACAAAGCACCGAAATAAAAGTACTCGCAATTACAGAAAGCTAGTTAAAACTTGTCAATTACAACCAATAAATAAATCATGTTCTGTCAGACTAAAGTATCAATCAGTACACAGCCAACGGATTTAGTTTAAAGACCGTCATAAACAGTCTGTGTGTAACGCATGACCTTGTGAAATACCAGAACATCATTGAAGCAGTATCGACAAGATTATATATTCAATTCCTTTTCAAGCCAATATATAGTCTGAGATTACTATACTGTTATAGTCAGTATCCGCGAATACATATAGTAATCTATTAAAAGTTAAAGTCAATATTTTAAAATATCAGGGTTCAGTAGAGCAATAATTATTCATGAGAAAAGTACATGTGTAACAGTGGCATCTTACTTTTCTTCTACAATCGAGAACAAGTGTTATACGCAGTCACGGTTGTTCTCAGTTTAGTCAAGGGTTTATTTGTATATAGAAATCCTTATCCGTGTTTAGTAGATTAAAGAGCTTCTTGTTAATAATTTATGAAAACCCTGTTTTGAATAAAGATTACTTACTTGCTATTATGCAAAATTGTGTCCATTTCTCAAATTTACGGCATTTATTAGCACTTAAAATCTAAAATTTCATTATTTCCTCTTTACAATCCTTTTTGGCGTGCTCCTCAATAACAGGAGGTAGTTACACAAAAGAAGAAAAAGGCGACTAAGGATAACAGGTGCTTGTTTATCTCCCCCCTCATACATGTGTGACTAAAGAATTGGTGTGAAAACACTGTGTGTGATATTAACTCGAAACTATTACAGGACGTTATATATAGCCAAAACGCCAACTTGAAAAATAACATGTAAAAGCTTTACTAAAGCATTTGTAATTAGCTAAAATACCAATCCACAGTTACTTCCCTTTAAAAACAAAGGAGAAATAAATGTCTTTTCCGTGAACAGGTGAACATAGACATAGACATAGAAAACTTTATTTTGATTCGGCAAAGCATAAAACATACAAAAAAAGCTCTGATGAACTGTTTACCGAATATAAAAACATATACAAAACATTTAAAACAAAGCATCATGCACCATGTCATATAAAACACTACTCAATAGTCCAAATAATTATGACGTCTTGAAAGGCTATTCGATTTGTTTGCTTTGAGGCCTTCCTGCAGGAAGGTTTAAAGCAGCAAAAAAATAAAATAGCCTTTCAAGACGTCATAATTATTTGGACTAATAAAACACCTGAAAAAAGCCAAGCAACAACCAAAATTTCACATTTCTAGCAATCTTGTATATATATAAAAAATTTATAAAATGCTTTTAGATCCTTTTAATAATTTCAATAGAACTGTTTGACAAAAAAACATCAGCAGCTCATATGGCAAGCACCTCTATGGGTCACCTAACAGCATGCCCGTTAGTGGCAAAAATTGAAAAGTTAAAAATAAGTGCTAGTCTAAGATATCATTCTTATCATTTAATCATGTTAATAATGCAATTCTAATAAGCTAAAACTTGTAGTTAATAAATAAATATGGAAGGCAGTATAATAATAAGCTGATTAAAAAAAAATGACTTGCAGAGCTGACACTATATAATAGCGAAGGCTTAGAAATCAAATGTATGCAGAACATCGACATTTCAAACCATTCCAAGTCTGAATCAAGTTTTTAAATTGAGAAAAAGTGTTTTCCGATCCGAAATGGTCCGGAAGACTGTTCCCCAATGTAGCTGCAGCATATTTAAATGATTTTTAACAATGAGTAGATGTTCTTACCAGGGGAACATTCAATATATTACTATACATGTATCTAAAAGAGTATATTGTAGATTTAATTTTTAGAAGACTGTTCAAACATGAAGGAGCAATATTATTTAACACTTAAAAGTTTCTAGAGCCATAGTCCTGATTCTGCACACCAGAAGAGTTGATACCTTAGCCTTATCCACAAGTTGTAAAAATGTTGAGGTGTAGTCATGGTAGTCATCATACACAAACTGGAGTGATCTTTCTTGCACTTTTTCCAATTTTGTGGTATTTTTTTCATGCCAAGCCAAAAGGCAAAAATTAAAATTACACATAATAAAAGTATGAAATATAGTGAGTTTATTTAATTTGGAAAGAAAAGGACCTAAAGGTTTCAAAGTATTAAGCTGCTGAGATGCCTTTCTACACGAATTACTTATATTTCATAATACAAATCAAATTTAACTAGTTGGTTAACACGACGGGTGCCACATGTTGAGCAGGATCTGCTTACCCTTCCAGAGCACCTGAGATTACCCCCAGTTTTTTGGTGGGGTTTGTGTTCCTCAGTCTTTGTTTTTCTATGCTGGTTTGTGTACTGTTGTTTGTCTGTTTGTCTTTTTCTTTTTTAGCCATGATACATTATAAGTATGATTGACAACTGCCATTATTAAGGAACAATTAAACACAAAAGATGGGACAATAATTGGAATTCTAAATAGAGCCCTCCTCCTAAATGCCAATCATAATTGCCCAAATTACATAACTATTGAGTTTATACATAACATGGAAGGCCACTCAATACACAAACTTTGATCTCATTGGTATCAGATATAATTTGATCTAGATCTAGATAGATCAGTGTTATTAGGTGACCTCTGTCTTTATGTATAATTGATACATTTGTACATATGGTTAACATTAATATTAAATGTGCATTCCTTTAATAAAATTATAGACTGATAATCATGATAATAGATTTAATTCTTTATCTATATATAACTTTTTTATTGATTTACACTACATTAAATAAAATATCTGTAAAGTTTGTTTGAAAGATGGTTGTTTAAGGATTAATACAATGTATTTTTATTAAAAAAATTTTTTAAGAAAAGACCAAAAAGAAATAAAATTGAGAATGGAAATGGGGAAGGTGTCAAAGAGACAACAACCCGACCAAAGAGCTGAAAACAGCCCTAGGCCACCAATGGGTCTTCAACATAGTGAGAAAATCCCACACATGGAGGGGGGCTTCAGCTGGCAGGCTTCAACTGGCCCCTAAACAAAAATGTGTACTAGTTCAGTGAAAATGGAAGTCACACTAAACTCAACAACATATAAATGAAATAAAATAAAAAAAAAACATACAAGACTAACAAAGGCCAGATGCTCCTGACTTGGGACAGGTGCAAAAATGCGGCAGGGTTAAACATGTTTTGTGAGATCTCAACTCTCTCCTATACCTCTAGCCAATGTAGAATGAACAAACACACAGCAATATGCACAGTAAAACTCAGTTTAAAAGAGGTCTGAGTCAGATGCCAGAATAGATAACAGAAGAAGCTAAGCAAAATGACAATGATACATAGATGAACAGCAGTTACTGACATGCCAGCTCCAGACCTCAATTTAACTGATTGAAAGATTATGTCATCATCATATGAAAATCAAGGTCAATCCCTCCTGTTATGGGTTTAGTATCATACCATCATGATATATATGAGAAGACCATAACCCGTATCATGCCAACAACTGCAGGTTTTAGGATAAATGTGTTTATTTCCGATGCAAAGACCCTATGAGTGAATCAATATTAATTCCAAAATATGCCATCATTAATAACATGACAACAGTATCGTAACTATACCCCTTCTAAATACATGAAATAAGTCTGTTTAAAGGTTTGGTTAGCTTTTGAGGTGAATGACAACATGTTTGTGCTTTGTATAGAATATGCTTGTTTTTCAGACTAAGTTACTTAAACCTTTAAATTGGAAGTTCAAACTTTTAACTGATTATACTCATTTTCTTTTGTAGTTTTTGCAGTGGAAAAGTTTACATATACTGTAATTGATATCAAGAAAACAAAATGGATGATATTGTATTAAAAACAGAAACATTGATTGACGAACATGATGAAGATGGAAAAGTTATGTCAAACATTGACAATGATATGTATAGTGATAAGAGACAGTCACAGTCAAACATATTTAGTCATGGCTCAACTGTTCAGGCAGGAAATTTGACAACAAATAACTGTATGTGTGATATTGATGTAGAAAATGAGTTAGTAGTTGATGAAGATGAAAAAGCTGAAGTAAGAAGTGAAAGCCAAGCAACAAACACTGATTCTTACTCAGACTTTGAAGCATCAGGGTCAGTGCTCACTTCTGCTGTTGAAGCTAGCAAGCCCCTTAATAATGAAGATATTTGTCAGTCAGATTTATCTTCAGGACAAGAGCCTCCGTCTGTGGAAAAAGGGCCAATAGCTGTGCCACCAGTGGAGATAATTTTAAATGAGAAAATTGCTAGTATTAATTCCTTCTCTGTGAACAATGTATCTATTAATTCAGATATTTCAGATAATACACTTAACAGTTATGCTTTAAACAACCAACCAGGGTCAATGGATATTGAGCAAGATTTGGTGAAAAGCTATTCAGAAAATTCAATCGAAAAGGTGACTGGTTCCAATAGTTTGCTCAGTGCCTCAAACCAGTCTGTGATTCCTTGCATTTCACAACCATTACTTAATGATACAATAACAGTTCAACCAATTCATTGTAAGGAAACTTTTTCTGTTGTCAACAAGAGAAAAATTGATGAAGCTTATCATATTTACTGTTGTCAGTCTCGAATATTGAATTCTTCAGTAAATGCTGCATCGCAGAAATTACAAGCAGCCGATCTTAACAATAGTGGCCACTCTTCAGATAAAAATAGAAATAAAAGAATCAATGATATACAACAAAATCCCTTTCCAGAAAACAGCGTTGAAACAAAATGTATAGGTAACTGGCAAAAATTACAAGCAGTTGGTATTGACGATTGCAGCTGCTCTTCATCTGGACTTACATGTGATAAAAATAAAAATGGAAGAATAAATGATATTCAACAAAGTCACTATCCAGTAAATGGCCTTAAAACTAAATGTATAGGTAAATGGAAGAAGAAGAAGAAAGAATCTCATATGAACTTTGAAGTGTATGGAAGACAAAAATGTAAGTGTAGTTTACAAAATACAGTACATTTAAAAATTTTACTGAATGAAGTAGGCATTCTCAACAATTCACATGTTTACTCACATATTAATACACTTGTCACTTTAATCATTTTGTGTCAATCTGAACATTATGTATTCATTGTTGTTTGTCTATGTATGTCTATTTTTTTTCGGAGGAGTCTGGTGATGGTAGTTAGTGCGGTATAAACCGTATGTTGTACTGTCCAATATTTTTGGTAATTCCTGCTGTCTTTTTTATAGATAGGTTTCAAATGACGTAATTTGATTTTTAGTTATTTCCCTTGATCGCCATTTTTGGATGGGTAAATGGTTGATTTTCTTATCTGACTAACCAAATTGGAACATGCGATACACGCAAGTCTGATAAAAGATCTTCACTAGATCGTAGTGATGAATTAAGCAAGGCTTAAACATGTTAAAGAAATAAAGGTTGTTCAGAAATCCCCTTTGTCTAAAGTCTAGTGGTCAGTATAAGTTGAAGTTGGCTGATTTATGAAGGAATCTGCACACTTGCCATGCTTACCACTCCAATAAAATAAAAAAAATACAAAATAATTTTATTTACTTATCAAGAGAATAATTACAGTTTAATTATGACTACATGTACAAAAGAAAACATACAATACTTAGCAGGATTCGAATGATTAAGTTGATTAAAACATTGATCATTATCAGTCAGGGGACTTATTGAAATAAGTGATTTTTAAATCACTTATTTAGGTAGCAAATTCGAAGTTTTGTCACAAATTGTGATTTTGTAGTTTTACCAAAATTTTAAACACATAGGTTTAGATAATATCTTTTCATTAGTAAAATTGAAAAAAATGAATTTTTTGCTTCTTTTAAGCAGCAAGGTTTATGCCTTTGATGCAATCATTTAGCTGCAAATTCTATTTTAGTTGAAAAAATGCTATAAAAATGGCTTTACATAATGAACTGATACTTTCTTAACAGATTTTTCTCAGCAGTGGGAGTATTTTTCCTGTAAAGATCAAGGTTTCATCTTATAGATTATGCAGTGGATTATGTAATAAAATTCTACTGTTCACGATCAAAATTTCACTGTTGGGGGGTGTTGAAATTAGTGGGAGTTATTAAAATAATGATACTTAAAGAAGTGATTTTTTGGAAGGAAATTGAGGTATGATACTTAAACAAGTGATTTTTATGTCATTATCCTAGATTTAGTACAAGGTCATCACCTGACATGACCCGGTCATCCTATCAACACAGGGGCGTGTTTTTTTGTTCTTCGGTAGTGAGCCAGAAGAGGTCCATTTCTGTTTTTTTGCATAGGGAAGATCATCTGGCTCTCTTCCACCTCTTCTTTTTTGATAGGTAGTTTAGACGGCAGAGGCACATAACAAACATGGCGTCGTTTAGTCTAAATGACATTAATAAATTTATGAATGCAGAAATATTAGAATGTGAGCTGTGTTATAAACGTTTTTATGGTATGGCAGTCTTAGTAGGACATCCCTGTAGGACGATAAGCTGGATAAATATAAGAACTACACGGACAATAACAGTTAAGGGACGACTATTTGATATTCTAGGGAAGGGGTTTTGATTGATTGGTGTTTAACCCTACTTTCAACACTAAGCCTTAAGTTGGGCTATTCCGTGGTGGTCAGTTTAAATTTATAGATGAAGGATGGGGAAGGGAAGAGGGCATTATTAACTTTTTTAATCTGTCGCTAATATAACTATGCCTATTTTTCAGCTCTTACCAGCCAACCATATTTATATATGAAATCCTCCTGCCCTCCACCCCAATAAATGAATGAATATCAAATGGTTTTTCTTATTTAACACGAGTATAAATTGATTGATTGTTTGTTGCTAATTTTAAACGCCCAGTGACAAATATGTCATGCATGTTCAGGACTCGGTTCAGGAAACACGAGTTTAAAAATCAGGTATTACTAAATAAATAAAAACGAAGAAATGTATGATTGCTAATGAGGCAACTATCCACCGGAGTTCAAATATGAAGTGGATGTAAGTAATTATAGGCAACCGTAATTAAGGCCTTCAACAATGACAAAAACCTGATACTTTCAAAAGGCCCGACGTGAAAAGTGTTAGAAACAATTCAAATGAAAAAACTTACGGCCTATTTAAACATAACAAAATAATTTACAAAATATCAAATATGAGTCGAGACATGAATAAACGACAACAACTAAACTACAGGCTCCTGACTTGAGACAGGCACACAAAGAATATGGCTGGGTTGATATAAAAACGAAGATTGCCAATGAGACAACCCTCCACAAGAGACCAAATGACACAGCAATTAACAGCTATAGGTCACCGTACGGCCTTCAATAATAAGCAAAGCCCATCCTGCATAGTCAGCTATAAAAGGCCCCGAAATCACAAATGTAAAACAATTCAAACGAGAAAACTAACCATCTAATTAATGTACAAAAAATGAACGAAAAACAAATATGTAACACAGCAACAAACGACAACCACTGAATTACAGGCTCTTGACTTGGGACAGGCACATACATACAGAATGTGGTGGGGTTAAACATGATAGTGGGATCCGGCCCAACCAGCCCCCTAACCTGGGACAGTGGTGTAACAGTACAATAACATGTTTGTGGGCGCTCAATCCTCCCCGAAGCTGGGACAGTGGTGTAACAGTACAATATTAGAACAACCTGCACAAATCAATTGCAATTAGATAGATTAACTCAAAAGATCGGTACGAGACACGCAAAACTTACATTAAGACAATAGACACAAAGCACCGAAATAAAATTATTTGTAATTACTGGACGTTTGTTCAAAGCTAATTACAACTATAGTACTGAAATAAATCTTGTTCTCCCAGACTGAAGTATCAATCAGTACACAACCAACGGATTTATTAAAAAAAAAAAGAAGAAAAAAACAGTCCGAGAAATGTCTGGTATACATTGTATACTTGCATATAGATCCATATACAATGATTTTTTTTTTAAATGTGGTGGTCCGAAGGTTTTGACCATCGAAATTATGCAATAGAAATAATAGTTAGGACCAGAAGATTTTCTTCAAGGACCACCAGAGAAAAATAACCATACTTCGATCAAATAATAATAATAATAATAATAATACATGTAATAATAATAATAATAATAATATTAATTTTAATAAACTTTCTGATCAATGAAAACAAATTAACTTGGCTTTTAAGCAATGAAGACAGAGACATCATTTATATAATTCATTAACTTTTAAAACAACTGTCCAAAGAAAGAGATGCACTAATGAATAATTGACTTAAGAGCTGTCCCCTTTTATTAATATATTTTTATTATTGTATGAAATTTCTGTGTTCCAAGTGGAATCCAGATTGTTGGTTATTATTCAAGTGTGACGGACATATAGATTCTTACATTGATACCAGTGGATTATCGGATTTATCCAATCGAGATAGTTAAAATTTATAATTTAACTATTGAGATTGGATAAATCCGATAATCCACGAGTAACCATGTAAGAATCTGTTTCTGTAATGATTAAAAAATAAATTTTCTTTTTTTGTTAAACGAAAATCCCCTTCGAGTGCCTTTCACATTACACGAAGTTGTCAATTTCATTAACACCTGTTTGCATATTTTGATTCATCCAGTTAGCTAAAAAGGTTATGACCCTTAAAATCATCCAATGATCTTTTGAGATCACCGGCAACCACACGTTGATTAAATTTTTTTATACAATGGGTTCGGAAAGGGATAAATTTCCATAGAATTAGTGAAAATAAAATAAGCGTGGCGCTGGGAATTTTAACGTGGTGCTAGAAATTTTAGCGTGGCGCACTGCCATGCTTAAATAGGTTGTGGTGATCCCTGTATAGCATATACATGATATATATATAGTGTTATTCAAATATAAATTAAAATAAATAATTATATATATGATGATATTGATGTTTGATGCATTAGTATATAATAATCTCAAGACTTTCAGATCAATTTTTCATTTGGTACCAGTTGGTTAACTTTTGGCAGAATTACGGCCCATGAATATATTTTCGTGAAAATGGATCATTATTATGATACAAATTTGACTGCCAATTTTGTTCTAATTGAATGACTTTATACATGTTATATGGTGAAATTATTGACCTTGCACTTACATAATTTCATGAAAATTGAACTTTTTTTTATTGCAAGGACAGCAGAACTTGCAATTGAGGCTGCTTTTTGGTACATTGTACATACATAAATATAAAAATAAGAAGATGTGGTATGATTGCCAATTAGACAACTCTCCACCAGAGACCAAATGACATAGAAGTTAACAACTATAGGTTGATCACTGTATAGTTTCTACATTGAACAAAACCCATACTGCATAGTAAGCTATAAAAGGCCCTGAAGTGACGAACGTAAAACAATTCAAACGAGAAAACTAATGGCCTGATTTATTATGTACGAAACAATAAACGGAAAAAAAATATGATATAAAGCAACAAACGACAACCACTGAATTACAGGCTCCTGACTTTGGACAAGCACATACAGAATATGGCAAGGTTAAACATGTTTGCTGGAGCCAAAGTTTACTCTTTGCCTTTTAAAAGGAGATATTTGTATTGTATCATATATAGTTTCTTTTTTCAGTGAGTGAAAAGTTGAGGTATACTTTTCATCAAATAAGAACAATACTACCAAGTAATGCCAACAAGAATGGATATGACTGTAAAGAATGTAACAAGACACTAGTCACTTACAATTATCAAAGGTTGGTTGCATTAAGATACAATCCGTCAGAGCTCAGACACAAACAAGATAGGATAGTATGGTAGAAACTAGGTTCATTCCCTCTATAAAATATGCAGTAGCCTTCTGAATATATACAAATATTAACAAACTTGTTAAATAATGACCGGGTACCAGTCTAGGTAGAATCATTCTTGAACATTCCTGTATTATTATGCAAGGGTTTTTAATTTGTTAGTTTACATGGAAAGACCTGCCGACAATATTTTCCCAATTTAAGTTTAAAAAAATATTGACTTTATTTATTGTTATGGTTTTTATTCCAAATAAGCCTACAAAAAACATGACAAATTACATAACATAGCTGATTGTAATAAAAGAAAAAATAAATATTGAAATGGCATATTTGTACCATAATAACGATTCAGGCTCTTGGGGCCTCTTGTTTGCAAAAAACACAAATTAAAAAATATACGTCTAGACATCAATACATGCATGTGACATGCATGTATATGGCTTTAGATTAAAGACAAAATATAGTAGTACTCAAATGTATACCAAGGTTTTCATGGATGATTTATGTCTGTTACCTTGTTTTAGATCACGTAGATTAATCAATTGAGCTCATGACTGTAAGACTTATTTCATTTAGAATGGTATCCAGTTAATTTTAGTAATCAAAGACAGCTCATCATGTATTGTAGGTTGCCGATGTATTGGTGTAAAGAATGTCTTTTTAGCAGTGTGTGTGATAATGCATTCATGATGCATTACCAATATTCTAAATTCCATCAAAAGTCTTCAAATGTTGTAAAGAAAACAGGATTTCCAAGCATAAAAGAAAAAAAACTGGAGTTCACATTAGGATGCAGATGTAGATTGTTTCTTACTAACAGTCCAATGGAAATGGGTATATTTTATGATATTCTATATTTGGCTGTTTCAGAATCTAAAAGACTATTGCACAGGGTCATGCGTTTCTCAGACTGTTTATGACGTCTTAACACTAAATTTGTTGCATGTGTAATGATTTGATACTTTAGATGTTTAGTTTGGGAGAATATGGTTTATTCATTAGTTAATAGTTGTAAATGGCTTTGAACTAGTTTTCAGTAATTGTGAGTACTTTTATTTCTTTGCTTTGTATCTATTGTTTTAATGTTAGTTTTTGGTTATTTTTGCCTTGTACATACACTGTACTATCTTTTGAGCTAAGCCAATTGCAACTGATTTCTACAGTTTGTTCTTATGTTCTGCTGTAACACCACTTTCCCAGGTTAGGGGTTCTATTGAGTGCCCACAAACATGTTTAACCCCACCACTTTATTTGCCTGTCCCAAGTCTGTAGTGCAGTGGTTCCCGTTGGTTCATGTCCCAGTAAATGACCACCTGTTGATAAGCCCTCACAATACATATTGTACAATTTAAATGGACAAATTGTATTGACAATTTTTCAAACTGGCCAGACAGTAGATATTACAATAAGACAAAGTACCAAATGGGAAGTAATGAAAAAAATCCAAATAGACATCACTCTGTCATCTCACTTTTTTTTTCAAGTATTTCATGATTCTGTGTTGATTGTTTATCAAGGTCACAATCCATAAACTTCAGTACCATCTGTTCTACAGAAACCTCTCATAATTGGTCCAGATTCTTGCCATTATGTGTTGTTGACCATTATATATTGTCACTTGATCCTAATATTTTTATGATTTTTACTATATTTTGACTATTGTACCACAATGACATATTGTGACACACAATTTAATTCCTCTTATATACATTTTGGGGGACGTCTGGCAACATTGTATTAATCTTGCTATTTTTACTCATTTCATTGTATACTGTAATTTACAATAAACTATATGTATGCGAATTTGGCATTAAATTTTTTTTGTTAATTTTTGTTTTGTTTTAACACACCAATTACAAATTAAATATTCTAAAAAACATAGATAAATCCTTGGACAATGAAAAGGGGATGCATATTTTGCATAAATGCATACTATACACAGTCTAATACGGTAATTATATTAACAAATATGAATATTTTGTTGAATGGCACATGTAATGATATTTCTTAGTGAGAGTTTCAGTTTAATATTGTAAACATGACTACTGATGATTAAAATTTTTTATTTTTTTTCAGCTGATCACTTAGCCACATGTGATGCTGGAAATCAAACATGTTTGATAATTGAGGGTAGGTTAAGTTAATTTTATTCACAAGTAATTATGCTGAAGGTGAATTTAATTGAATTTCTGAGTTAACTAAAATAAACACAACTGAACAGAGCACTAATTTAGCTTTGGTCTGTTCAAGATTACAACACATAGGGGAATGGGAGGCACTATAATGAATAAATTGTGACTGGTTTCATATTTTTAAGAATTTTGTAAAAATTATAAGTAAAATGAAAATTTATAATCAGTGGCGGATCCAGAGGGGGGGTCTGGGGATTGGAACCCCCCTTTTTTTGACGATCAATGCTTTTGAATGGGGACATATGGTTGGAACCCCTCCTTAATCCTGGGTTGGAATCCCCCTTTTAAAAATGGCTGGATCTGCCCTGATAATATTAGCGTCTAAATCTGGAACAGCCGTTTAAGAATGATAAGTGAATTTGGAAATGCCTTTATTAATGTCATCGTTGAATAAAAAAATCAAATTACTTAAGAATTTCTGTATTATTTTCAGAATTAATCAAATTAAATTTTTTCAATCGATGTCATTATGAATTTACTGTACTTTTACAAAACTAATTTCTGATCATTTACAGTTTTGAATTGTTCCCTGAGAAGTTATTGATCAGAATCATATATATTTATGCTTTGTTTATATCAGATATTATTTGTAATGATAAGGTATAGAATAACATAATATGTTTTTTTTGCGTTAACATTTAACAAAACTAAAAAATATTAATTCAGTGTCAGGTTCAATAGGGATAAACTCCTTTTTATACGACCGCAAAATTTTTTGCGGTCGTATATTGGTATGACGTTGGCGTCGTCGTCGTCTGAAAACACATTGGTTTTCGCACTCTTACTTTAGTTTAAGTGAATGGATCTCTATGAAATTTTACCATAAGGTTCAATACCACAAAAGGAAGGTTGGGATTGATTTTGGGGGTTATGGTACCAACAGTTAAGGAATTAGGGGCCAAAAAGGGGCCAAAAATAAGCATTTTTGTAACTTCCAGACATAACTTGTGTGTTAGTGTATTGATCTCTCTGACATTGTACCACAAGGTTCCATATCACAAAGGGAATGCTGGGATTGATTTTGTGGGTAATTGCCTCAATATTTTAGGAATAAGGGGCCAAAAAAGGTGCAAAAAACAAGCATTTTTCTAGTTTCATGACAATAACTTGTGTGTAAGTGTATGCATCTTTCTGAAATTGTACTACAAGGTTCCATATCACAAAGGGAAAGCTGGAATTGAGTTTGGGGGTAATTGCCCAAAACGTTTAGGAATAAGGGGCCAAAAGTAAGCATTTTTCTAGTTTCCAGACAATAACTTGTGTTCAAGTGTATGGATCTCTCTGAAATTGTACTGCAAGGTACCATACCACAAAGGGAAGGCTGGGATTGATTTTGGGGGTAATTGCCTCGAAATTTTAAGAATTAGGGGCCAAAAAGGGGAAAAAACAAGCATTTTTCTAGTTTCAGGACAATAACTTGTATGTAAGTTTATGGATCTTTATGAAATTGTACTACAAGGTTCCATATCACAAAGGGAAAGCTGGGTTTGAGTTTGGGGGTAATTGCCCTAAACGTTTAGGAATTTGGGGCCAAAAAGGGGCCAAAAAACAAGCATTTTTCTAGTTTCCAGAGAATAACTTGTGTTCAAGTGTATGGATCCCTCTGAAATTGTACTGCAAGGTACCATACCACAAAGGGAAGGCTGGGAATGAGTTTGGGGGTTATGATTCATAAGGGGGTTAAAAAAATTTGGGGGGGATTTTTTTTTCCTTTTTTTCCTTTTTTTTCTTTATAATTTTCCATTTTAAATTTGTTATTTCTGATTTATATATAAAAGCAAATAATAATGATATGGTTTGAATAGGTAAATTATTTTTTTTTAAGTTCTTAGACCACATTCGTTCTGTGTCAGAAACCTATGCTGTGTCAAATATTTAATCACAATCCAAATCCAGTGCTGTATCAAGCTTGAATGTTGTGTTCATACTTGTCCCAACTGTTCAGGGTTCGACCTCTGCGGTCGTATCAAGCTGTGCCCAGCGGAGCAATTAATTTGTTTATAGCGTAGTTGACACTATTTCAGTGAAAAATATATACCTTTCTTTCCGCATTATAAGTCTTTATGGAGAGGATAGGCAGAAAGGCTGATTTTTGGCAAGAACCTAAAGATAGGTCGAAGCAATGCATAAGACGAGGGTCCAAACATTTTTTTTTCTAATTTGTAACCAGATTTCACTAAAAAGTTTGACATAAGTTGACCTGGAGTATAAGACCACCCTGTCAACTTTCTGAAAAAAATATAGACTTATCCATTGGAAAATACGGTACACATTTGCACAAATTTACATTGAAGAAATGTACATTTTCTTTTTTAGACTTGTATTCTGTGGCTTGTTTTTTTAATTATGCTGTGAGTAAAAATGCAGAAGAACTCAGTTCATACACAAGGTATTTATGGAAATATTTTCTCAAATATTAAGAGCAAGTAACAACTCCTCAAAATATTATAATAAAAGTATTGATTTTATGGGAAAACATTGATGGAATTTATTACATGTTTCATATTGTAAATCCAGAAATTGTTGCGTTCATTTATTATTGTGATTTTTAGATAATGAACAAAAATGTGAGTTTAATTATTGCGATTTTCGGAAAAGCTGCAAACAGATATGCCTACAGATATATGCACCAGATATCAAAATGTGAGTTCTTATTATTGCGATACTCATGGAGTCACATTATTCGCATAAATTTCTAAATTTACAGTATTTGAAAATGTACCATTATTTTTGTATTTTTCATAAAAAACTTAATAATAAAATTGCCTATCGCTGATTTAATGTTTAACATCCTTGCTCTTGAACTACCTGTTTCTGACAAAGATTGAAGTTTTGTATGAGGTAAAGATTTCAGTGCCATTGTCACACCTCTTTTTTGGAATAAGAATTACCTGATTTAACAGTAAAAAGTTTGATTAAACATATTCTGGTGTTTTTTGATGTAAAGAAATTTTCATTATATGATTTAACAAAATAGATGAAGAGATACTCCCTAGTTTGCCAACTTTTAATTATCTGTTAGTTCAATTTTTTACATCACTGGGTCGATACCTCTGCTGGTGGACTTTCAGTCCCCGAGGGTATCATCAGCTCAGTAGTCAGTACTTTGGTACTGACATGATTTATAACAAACCTTTCTAAAATTGTCCGTTTATAAATTTTGAAATTATAAAGAAACTAAGATTTCAACTCCCTCAGGCAAAGTTGACCTTAGATGAATTTGGCTATTTGTTTTAGGTATTTTTGTCATATAGCTCTTCAACTGTTTCGGTACTTATACATCCCTCGGATTTCAAATGTTTGGCTTTGAGCGTTCCTGATGAAGGTAAATCCAGAAAAGCGCTTTGGATGCATGAAATTATTAAACGTGTTGTTTTCAATTTTTTAGTTGATTTAATGAGCGTGATTTAATGAGCATACAATTGAATAGACTATTCCATCTTTATAGGTATAGACTATCTGTGATTTTTATGTATTTACATTGTGAGGTTCTATTTTTTGGGATAATGAATTTAAAAAGTAAACTTTAGGGCCCACTAGAATGGACTGAAGTTTATGTCAAGTTATGTATATTAAAATTTGAGTACAAGTTATTACTGTAATTTCAGAAATATTTTTGATGAACATGTTTATTTATTGGTAAATTTTAGTCTGGATTGGTTACGCAGTAATAAAAACTTGCATTTTGAAAGCATTATTAATAAGCAGCATTTCTTAAAATTTTTTATAACAAATAACACTTTTTATACGCCCGTTTACGGATTGTATTATGGTATACCGTTGACCGTCTGTCCGTCCGTCTGTCCGTCCATTTGTCCATCTGTCCGTCGTCAACATGTCGGGCATTAATTCAAAAACGCTTTAACCAATATGCATGAAACTTTGGTGAATTGTTTATATCTATTGACGTGAGCTCCCTTTCCTTTTTTTATAAATTTAGGATTTACCATTTTCAGAGATTTGGAGTTTTATTCATTAAAAAAGGAGGGATTTTCCAGTTTTCTATTGACGTGAGCTCCCTTTGGTTTTTTATAAATTTTGGATTTACCGTTTCCGAGTTATGGGTTTTATTCATTAAAAAAGGGGGGATTTTCCAGTTTTCAGACAATAGCTCAAAAACAATTTCACCAATTTGCAAGAAACTTTGGTGAATTGTTTATTTCTATCGACATGAGCTCCCTTTTGATTTTTATAAATTTCAGACTACCGGTATACGTTTCCGATTTATGGGGTTTTATTCATTACGAAACGGGGGATTTTCCAGTTTTCGGACAATAACTCAAAAATGATTTCAGCATTTTTTATGAACTTTGGTAAATTGTTTATATCTATTTTTGTAAGCTCCCTTTTGATTTTTATAAATTTTCGATTTTATGTTTCTGAGTTGTAAGATTTTATTTGTTTATAGTCTGACAACAGATTTACTAAGTATTACACAACAGCACATTGTATTGCACAACAGCAAGAAATCTTTCATATAACCAATTTCAAGTTCTTTGACTACATTTATTCAGAAACCTATAATATATCAAATATTTAATTACAATCCAAATTCAGACCTGTATCAAGCTTGAATATTGTGTCAATTTTTGCCCCAACTGTTCTGGGTTGGACCTCTGTGGGCGTATCCAGCTGCGCTCAGCGAAGCAGTTTATTTTCAAAAGAAATACCTTTTGTAATTGACAGTTCTACATAACACTTAAAATATTCAACTCAGGGTATATTAGATCACTCTGACCTTGACACCTATGATATTAATATGTGTTCAAGGCCTAACTATTCTCTGAGAACTTAGGTCAATCAAACTTATAAGATACAGGTTATGTTCTTCTCATATAATTTATGATGGCATGATACTAAACCCCTAACAGGAGGGATTGTGCTTAATTTTCATATGATGAAGACAATCTTTCAATCAGTTTAATTGAGGTCTGGAACTGGCATGCTAGTAACTGCTTTTGTTAATTAATGTTGATCATTGTTATTTTGCTAAGTTTCTTCTGTTACCTATTTAAATATTGGACTCAGACTTATTTTAAACTCAGTTTATTTTGCCTATTGCTGTGTGTTTGTTTACCGGTATTGCACATTAGATAGAAGTACAGGGGGAGATTTCACAAAATATGTTTAACTCAACATTTTTGCGCCTGTCCCAATTCAGGAAAATCTAGCCTCTGTCAGTCTTGTGTGTCTTTTTAAAATTTTGGTTCAATTATATGTTTCAGAGTTTTGTTTGGCATCCATTTTGATAAACTAGTATACCTTGTTAAGGGGCCAGCTAAATCCGCCTCCAGGTGTGGGATTTTCTTGCTGCGTTGAAGACCCATTTGTGGCCTAGGGCTGTTTTCTGCTCTTTGGTCAGGTTGTTGTCTATTTGATACATTCACCCTTTCCATTCTCCATTCTAAGTCAAACTAAGTGTGCAGATGCATTATGGGAAGGAGATTTGTCAGTATGATTAGGTCATTGTTGCTGTGACCCCAAAAAAGTTGATGGCCTGTTAACATTGATATGACTGATAGCCAAATACCTCAAAATGTCATTGTCTCAATGCTGAATTTAACAGCAGCAACCAAAATGCATGTATGGGTATTATGAGTCCCACTTTGCAAACAGCTCTAAATTGAAAGGAATGGATGTTACTGGTAATATTTTTTATGCGAAAATTGAAAGAAATTAAGATTGTCATGTGAAAAAGAGTTATGTCAAGTTAGCTGAGATGGTAAGGGACACATATATTTTTTTGTATATAAAAGAATTTAATAAATCTTTCCATTCCCTTAGTAATTTGATTCCTTTAGTAAGTGCAAGTATAAATTGTATTAATAAGACACTGTTCATATAACATTTGGTCAACAGGATTTTATGATTAGATGTAAAAAGAAAATTGTAGAGATATACCAACAATCTCAAAGTATTTGCTTTTCTCTAACGTCTAAAGTGGTAGTTCTTTAAAACAAATTCTAGGGAAGATTTAATATAAAAATAAGGGGATGTGGTTTTGATTGCCAGTGAGACAACCATCCACCAGATATATAAAAAAGAAGATGTGGTATGATTGCCAATGAGACAACTCTCCACAAGAGACCAAATGACACAGAAATTAACAACTATAGGTTACCGTACAGCCTTCAACAATGAGCAAAGCCCATACCGCACAGTTAGCTATAAAAGGCCCCGAAATGACAATGTAAAACAATTTAAACGAGAAAACTAACGGCCTAATTTATGTACAAAAAATAAACGAAAAACAAATATGTAACACATAAACAAACGACAACCACTGAATTACAGGCTCCTGACTTGGGACAGGCACATACATACAGAATGTGGCGGGGTTAAACATGTTAGCGGGATCCCAACCCTCCCCTAACCTGGGACAGTGGTGTAACAGTACCACATAAGAACGAACTATAAAAATCAGTTGCAAAGAAGCTTAACTCATCAGATGGATAAAAATACAAATACTACAATTACAAGTGGACGTGGCCGGGTACTTGTACATCCAAACAACAAAAAGACACTAAGTACAGATCTGAGAGTACTCGCAGTTACTGACAGCTAGTTCAAAGCCACTAACAACTAATAAAAAAATCATGCATCTAAGACTAAATTATCAATCCGTACACATCCAACATCCATTGGATTTAGTGAAAAGACGTCATAAACAGTCAGAGAAAAACATGACCTAGAGTTCAGATGATGTAGATAAAAGAAATAAAAGGTCACCATACAGCCTTCAACAATGAGAAAAATAAAACATAACAAACAGTTAGCTAAAAAAGATCCAACATGAAAAACTATTTACTACAAAATATATTAAACTTCCATGCCTTTGCTTGAGTTAGGACTTTTTTTTTATTTATTAATTTTTTATGCTTTGCAGGTTAAATCCAAAGATCAAAGAAAAATGCAGTCTTGATGTTGCAAAGAGAGTACTAAAACAACTTACTCCTAAAATCTTGAGTATACCTACAGAAGTTTCACTTTCACCTGCTGCAATAGATACTAAAAAGAGGAATTTCGTGAGTAATCACAGTATCTCCAAAAGAATTCAGAATTCTGAATCAGCATCTATACAGGTTGAATCAGAATTGCATAATGAAGAAAAAGTTTTACAGGTGTCTGAAACAGATTCAGTTATCGGTCCCTGCTCTATAGCTAAGAATGTAGCAGCAACCACACAAACAAACACAGCATTAGGATCTTCAATGGTTGCATCTCAAATTGCTCAAAAAGCTGCATCAACGTCATTTCAAACTTTAGCATCAAGATTTTCTCTAGTTTCCAGTGGAGAAGGTCAGAGTTCAACTTCAACATATCAGAACTCAGCAGCTAACATATCACTTCCTTTCATTAATAAAGATCAGAACAAGACAGCAAATGTGACACTATCTTCGTCCACTATATCACAGAATAATAGAGCTGCAGTAATACTACTCCCAGGGAAAGGACCTCAAGGCCAAGATTACTTACTTTTCCCCACTGTAACAACACCTAACACAACCAATGATGTAACCTCAATACTGACACCTCCACCTAAGTCACAGACTTTTACAGTTCAGAATACCGCTTTTGGAACAGTTTTTTCACCTCTGACTTCCTTATCTCATGAAAAAGTACCAACAAGTGTTCAGTCAGCACAAAATAAAACTCAACATACAGTTAAAATGTTCAAGAAGTCTAAGACTAGTGCATCAGATTTTACTCCATATCCTTTTGCCAGGACTTCAGCTTCAGTTAAAAGAGTATTTACAATACCAGTAGTACCTACAATGGGGCCATCTACCAAACTTCCAAATTTAGCTCCAACTGCTAAAAGGTATACACCCTTACTTCAGAATTCAGCTCCAAGTGTTTGTAGTGTCTGTACAGTGTATCCTTCTACAAAATCCCAAAATTCAGCTTCAAAAGTATCTTCAGCTAGTTTATCTACTGAAACTCAGAATTCAACTCTATCTAATGCTCAGAATTCAACTCTATCTAATGCTCAGAATTCAACTCAGTCTGATGCTCAAAATTCAACTCAATCTGATGCTCAAAATTCAAATCAGTTTGATGCTCAGAATTCAACTCAAGCAAATACTCAGAATTCAACTCAAATTGTTACTCAGTATTCAAATCCAAGAGTATCTACAGTGGAAATGTCATCAATCAAAACAGAAAAGTTATCTCCAATAGTTTCTTCACAGCTTTCTTCTGCTGATCCTGAGAAATCAACTTTAAGAAAGTCTACTTTGGTTTCATCGGCTGTTACTCAGAATTTATCTTGTAAAGTATCCACTCTTCCATTTTCATCCAAAGATCAGAATACAGCTCAAAATATATGCACAGTGAAATCTCCTTCTAAAACAGAGAAGTCTCAAAGAATATCTACAGTGCAATCTCGAGTTCAGAAATGGGATCCAAAAGTGAATCATCCTACTAAAACCTCTTGTAAAATATCTACAGTGAAATCTCGTGCCAAAGTTCAGAAATCAGGTCCAATTATATGTACAGTGTATCCTCCTACCAGATACACAAATTCAGCCCTCAGAGTCTCTACAATTAGTTATTCTACAAAACCTACAATGTCTTGGGACACAGTACCAATTATTACACCAGTATCAGTCGAAGTAGTTCAGGATATTGCATCAACAAGGTCTGAGAGCTTAGCATCAAGAAGGTTGGAGAGCACAGCATCAACAAGGTCTGAGAGCACATTATCTACAAGGACTTCTGAAAGCATAACATCAACAAAATGTGAGAGCATAGCACCAACAGGGTATGAGAGCACAGCATCAACAAGGTCTGAGAGCACAGCATCAACAAGGTCTGAGAGCACAGAATCATTATGGTATGAGAGCACAGCATCAATAAAGTCTGAAAGCACAGCACCAACAAGGACAGGGAGCACAGCATCAACATGGTCTGAGAGCATAGCATCAACAAGGTCTGAGAGCACAGCATCAACATGGTCTGAGAGCATAGCATCAACAAGGACAGAGAGCACATCAACAAGGACAGAGAGCATAGCATCAACAAGGTCTGATAGCTCAGCATCAACAAGGTCTGAGAACACATTGTCAACAGTGTCTGAGAGCATAGCATCAACAAGAACAGAGAGCATACCATCAAGAAGTTTTGAAAGCACAGCATCAACATCGTCACCATTTCCATTGGCATTATTCCCTAATGTTGCTACATCACAGAACAAAGGAAATGGACAAATTTCAAATTGGAGAAACAAATCTTTGAACACTGCATCAAACTTTGCTCCATATCCTGTCATTGTTTCTAATAATTCAACTTTCAGCATTCCTACGGTTACTTCAACCACAGGACAGAAAAAAATTAGAAATCCACCTACAAAACAGAAAATCACTGTAAATCTTGCTGCAGCTGATGGAAACGGATTAGATGCCTTTGGTGTACACCATTTTACAAGTAATGATAGTAATATTAAAAGACTTAAACGAAAGATTGAAGAGCATGATTGGAAGTTGGATGAAATACTCTGTACAAGGAATAAAAGAAGGAAAGAGGCATTAGAAAAATGTTTTAAAATATCTGGCGAAGAATTAAGTGACAATTCCTTTTCTGATTCTACTCATTGTACTAAGAGTCAAGTAGAGGCTGAAAAAATATCTGTGTCTGCACAAGATCAGATGCAAAAAGTGGTTTCTGCTCATCTTATTTCCAAGGGAGATTATTGTGCAAAAACTTTTACAAGCACGATAGAAAAAGAACTTTCCCAGTCTCATGATACTGAGGTTAAAGTTGAGCTACTGGATACAGAATATTTCCAGACTGAAACTTGTCAGCCAGAAGTAGTAATTGAGAATGTTGATGGCACAGATTATTGCCAGTTATATAACGATAATAAAGGGAAATCCATATCACATACTGAATATTGTTCATCTAGTGAGGAGCATTTGTTAGTACAAAGCAGGATCAAAGAAGAATGTGTTCCAATTGAGAAAAGCTCTGCGATATTTGAAAATATTTCAAGGGAAAGTAGTAAACCCTTAAACACTTGTTCAGGATTAATTTATTCATCTGAAACAGAATCTTGCCCATCAGATGATGATATTTGCCAATCATGTTATGATATTTGCCCATCAGATGATGATATTTGCCAATCGGATAATAATATTTGCCAATCAGTTAAGGATATTTGCCATTCAGACACCATAGCAAATGCTGACAGTACTTTACCTGTGAAAAAAATTCCATTTGGTAAGGGCTTCCAAGAAGTGAGGAGAAGTAATACTGAGGTTCTAAAAGTATCTTCCGAACAAAGCAGCAGTTTGGTAAAGAACCAATTACTTCAGTTGAATGATGTGAAAGGAGTGTACAAGATGCAGATTTCTAATGGTAGTGAAACAAGCGCTCAGCTGTCAGATACAAAACAGCAGCAATCAATGCAGGATATTTATGGTAAGAAAACGAAATACTGTTAAGGTAGATTCACTGTATACCGCCATCTTGGATTGTACAATAGCAGTACACAATCAGTCTAGTTCTTTGACTAAATCTGCAAATTTTGAGACAAATTTGCAATTTATCTGTAAGAATTTTATTTGTATAAATAAAAAATAAGTGATTTATTGCATAGTCATAGATGTTTAGACAAATACCAAATATTTGTGTTTTTTAGATTCAATTGTTCAACTTAGCAATTTAAGGGGCGATAACTCTTATAGTAAAATTTTTACACTGAAATGATAGTGAAATTTTCATTTTTTGACTTGTAGCAAGAAAACAAGTTCATTGACACCCTTTTTTCTTTTTATTTTCTTAAAGCATATTATAAAACCTATCTTCTCATATTTTATTTCAAAATTCTATCTCATAGATTTCTTTTTATTCACAAAAATGTGTTTGATCATGAACAATCTATGCTTTGGTCAATTTTGCACGACTTGTAGCTTGAAAAATAGCACGGTGACCCATACTTTTTATTAAATTAAAAAAAAAAAAAGCATGGTAAAATGTTCATTTTGGCAAAGTATAAGAAAATTCTATCTGAGGAAATATATACCGATGACCCACCTGAATTCAGAAATTTTTGTGTGCATTTATTATTGCAACTGTTGAAAAATTGACAAAAATGTGAGATAAGTAATAGTGATTTCAGTTAATGTTGCATCCAAATAATGCTATCAAAATTTTAAAAAATGTATGTGTGTGTACCAAACTATAAGCATGGTATCTTTTTTTTTTCAATTTTTGCAATAATAAAAACATCAGTAAAATATTTGAATTTAGAGTATGAAGAATTACCCTGAAAACAAAATTGAGTCTTGTCTGGTTCAAAAATATCTTTGAATGCCTTGAAGCAAGTTTTTAAGATACTTGGTATTATTGTTGCAAGACACGAGAGTTGTTAATAAGTTTGGAATGTCTGCAAAGTCAAGGTCACAAACATATTTTCATACAAAATGCATGTCCAATCAAATTTGATTATTTTTTCACTGCTTTATGGTAACTAAGGGGATTGACGGTGATTTTCACCTTGAGCGTATATATAAGTTGTTACATGACATATATTTACAAATATGATGTTTTGTATATTTTGTAAAGTGGATTGTTTTGATGTTTTGTATATTTTGTAAAGTGGATTGTTTTGATGTTTTGTATATTTTGTAAAGTGGATTGTTTTGAGGGGAGTTAAATTTTATGATTTTTAATTCCTATAAGTTTTACAAAAATCTTCTCCTCTGAAACTACTGGGCCAAATGCACCCAAACTTGGTCACAATCATCATTGGGGTATCTAGTTTAAAAAATATGTCCGGTGATCCGGTCAACCAACCAAGATGGCCGCCATGGCTAAAAATAGAACATAGGGGTAAAATGTAGATTTTGGCTTATATCTCTGAAACCAAAGCATTTAGAGCAAATCTGACATGGGGTAAAATTGTTTATCAGGTTAAGATCTATCTGCCCTGAAATTTTCAGATGAATCTGACAACCCGTTGTTGGGTTGCTGCCCCTGAATTGGTAATTTTAAGGAAATTTTGCCGTTTTTGGTTATTATCTTGAATATTATTATAGATAGAGATAAACTGTAAACAGCAATAATGTTCAGCAGAGTAAGATCCACAATTAAGTCAACTTGACCAAAATGGTCAGTTGACCTCTTAAGGAGTTATTGCCCTTTATAATCAATTTTTAACCATTTTTCGTAAATTTTTGTAATCTTTTACAAAAATCTTCTCCTCTGAAACTACTAAGACAAATTTAACCAAACTTGTCCACAATCATCATTAGGGTATATAGTTTAAAAAATTTGTCCGATGACCCCGCCCGCGAACCAAGATGGCCGACATGGCTAAAAAATAGTACATAGGGTAAAATACAGTTTTTGGCTCATATCTCTGAAACCAAAGCATTTAGAGCAAATCTGACATGGAGTAAAATTGTTTATCAGGTCAAGATCTATCTGCCCTGAAATTTTCAGACCAATCAGGCAAATCGTTGTTTGGTTGCTGCCCCTGAATTGGTAATTTTAATGAAATTTTGTCGTTTTTGGTTATTATCTTGAATATTATTATAGATAGAGATAATCTGTAAACAGCAATAATGTTCAGCAGAGTAAGATCCACAATTAAGTCAACTTGACCAAAATGGTCAGTTGACCCCTTAAGGAGTTATTGCCCTTTATAGTCAATTTTTAACCATTTTTGGTAAATTTTTGTAATCTTTTACAAAAATCTTCTCCTCTGAAACTACTAAGACAAATTTAACCAAACTTTTACACAATCATCATTAGGGTATATAGTTTAAAAAATGTGTCCGATGACCCCGCCCGTGAACCAAGATGGCCGACATGGCTAAAAATAGAACATAGGGGTAAAATGTAGATTTGTAAATTTTTACAAAATATTTTCCACTGTAACTACTGGGCCAAGTTCATTATAGATAGAGATAATTGTAAGCAGCAAGAATGTTCAGTAAAGTAAGATCTACAAACACATCACCATCACCAAAACACAATTTTGTCATGAATACATCTTTGTCCTTTGTTTAATATGCACATATACCAAGGTGAGCGACACAGGCTCTTTAGAGCCTCTAGTTAAATATAATTGCAGTAGTTAAAGTGAAACAAGAACCTTCAGATGAGACTGAAAAAGATGTCCAACAGAAGCTAGAACCATTGAATATAACAGTATCAACAGGTACTAGTAAACATATGTTATTGTCATTTGTAAATTGATGAAGTATCTTATATATGATGAGTTTATATACATGAGCAGCAATATACTTGATTATATAAACCAAGGTATTTCTTGGTTTCTTTTTTCATGTTTAGCGCTATCTAACTGACTTCACAGCAATTTATTTCTTCTGTGGAAAAAAAAAATATATTTGATTGATGTTTACTGTAAATTCAGAAATGATTGCTTGCATTTATTATTGCCATTTTTTGAAGAATTAACAAAAATGCGAGTTTAATTATTGCAATTTTAGGAAAAGCTATGTACAGATATCTGTATCTGATATCAGAATGTGAGTTATTATTACTGCGATACTCGAGTAGTCGCATTATTCGCAGTAAAAAAAATCTCACAATAATTTCTGAATTTACAGTATATGTAAGAGAAGATCTAAGTTAGAAAAGTCACGAAGATTTATATTCCCATATGTTTCTACTCGCAAAAGCAAATATAAATTACACAGGAAAATAATTTGTTTTACAGTCCAGTGTATGGCCAAGGTACTACAAAACATATATCACCATTGATTGTATCAATTTATTGTGTCTTTATCTGTCAAAGTCAACTTTTCATTAACTCCGTATTGAATCACAAAAGGGCCAATTGAGTTTTCAGATCACTTGGCGTCTGGTGTCGTAGTCTTCCATCATTGTCGTCTGTGTTGTAAACTTTACAAAAATCTTCTCCTCTGAAACTACTGGGCCAAATTTAACAAAACTTGGCCACAATCATCATTGGGGTATGTAGTTTATAAAATGTGTCTGATGACCCTGCCTGCCAACCTAGGTGGCTGACATGGCTAAATATACATTGGTGTAAAATGCAGGTTTTGTCTATTAATTTGAAAACCGCAATAAATACAGAAAATTTGTTAGGAGCAGAAATGTTCAGAATGGTGAGCTTTAACTATTGTCTATTAATGTCAAAATTTTCAGTCGACACTTATAGGTGTTATTGCCCTTAAATGATGAATTTTACTTCTTTGTTTTTATTTTTGCCTTTTACCTTGAAAATTTTAATAGATAGAGAGAAACTTTTAATAGCAAAAATGATCAGCAAGAAAAGATCTACAAATAAGTCTGATGGGCAAATTCTTCTGTTGACTCTTTATTGGAGTTCTTGGCATTAATGTTAATGATGATTTTTACCAATTTTTGCCGTTTTTGCCTATTATCTTGCAAACTATAAAAGATGGATAGAAACTTTAAATAACAAAAATGATCAGCAAGACTAGATCTATAAATAAGTCTATTGACCAAAATCTTCAGTCGACTGGTTATTAGAGTTAATTTACACTGACGAAGATTTTTTATCAATTTTTGGCGTTTTTGTCTATTATCTGGAAAATCATAATAGATAGATAGATATAAGAAGATGTGGTATGAGTGCCAATGAGACAACTCTCCATCCAACTAAAAATTTATAAAAGTAAACCATTATAGGTCACAGTACGGTCTTCAACACGGAGCCTTGGCTCACACCGAACAGTAAGCTATAAAGGGCCCCAAAAAATTACTAGTGTAAAACCATTCAAACGGGAAAACCAACGGTCTAATCTATATAAAAAACGAGAAACGAGAAACACTTATGAACCACATCAACAAACGACAACTACTGAACATCAGATTCCTTTAATAGTAAAATTGATCAGCAAGACTCTACAAATAAGTCTTATGGGCAAATTTTCTTCAGTTGACTCTTTATTGGAGTTCTTCAAGTCTTGAATGATGATTTTTACCAATGTTTGCCGTTTTTGCCTATTATCTTGAAAACTATAAAAGATAGATAGACACTTTAAGTAACAAAAATCTACAATCAGGTAAAATTCTGCCAAAATTCTTCATATGAAGATTTTTTTCACCCTCTTTTGTGTTTTGGGCCAAAACCAAAGAAGATAGAGAGAATTTGTAAACAGAAAAAATGATCAGCAAAATAAAAAGATGTTTGTCATGAATTCTATTCTAGTCTACAATATTGTTGAAGATGCACAAAGACTGTAGGTGAGCGACACTGGCTCTGAATAAAGTCTCTAGTTTTAATTAATTTTTATTCTTTATTGAGCACTTTGTCCAAGCTAGTCATGATATCCTGTCTCTTTTAGTGAGTCTTCCTTTTCTTTTACAACAATAAAACTTACATTTTTTGACTGACAATTTTCTTCCAGTTTAGCAGTCATGCACAATTTAAGTTTGATACATTAGCCACAATTAATTTGGACCCTAAAGAGGCCTCTATTGACAGTCACAATTTGGGTATCAAACTCTCTACTGTTGAAAATATTCTGTCATTTCACACAAAAGTATGATGAGGACTTAAAACTACCAAAAAAAACCAGATTTTTCATAATAAAATCATATAGAGTTACTCCCCTTATTTTTGCTTATTTTGACATTTTGGTGCTGAAAAGTATGCTTATTCATAGAAATATTTTTAAGTAAAAAGTGATTACATAATTTAAAATGGAATGTAATTTAATAAAAAATAAAATTTTATATACATACAGAAGTAAAATATTGTAATTGAGAGGTAATATCTTCAATAATTCTAATGAAATCAAACCAGTATTATATTGGTAAAAGTGAAATTGATGATGGTCAATTTTTATATGTAAATATGAATTTTTAGTTATTGCTGTGGAATGTCATCTATTCCACTCTATTGTCATACTGTCTGGTCTCTCTCTTCCTCTTCCTTCCTATTTATTATTCAGTTCATACATGAGACTACAACACAGTAGAAAAGAAAACAAAGGTCAACATTAAAAATAGTAAAAAAAAAAAAAATCTTTGGGAACTGTCTGTAAGGATAGAGGATAGAGAAAATGTGTCTCAATGCAATGTAAACTATGTTCGATATTTACTTCCAATTTGTCAAATATTCTCAGTTAATATTCTCAAAAACTCATAATAAAATCAAAACACCCTTCTTCTACATCAATATATTTTAATTGCATTTAAGGTAGTAGAATATTTACTATTTGTTATAATGATAGATGGCAGGTTTTGGTAATTATCAACATAAGAAATTGTGATTTATACATCAATGGGACTGTAAAACAATGAAATAAAAACAAATGAAACCTATGTAATATTTGTGCTCTAATGACTTATTTTCTGTTACGGAAGTTAAATGTGTTTTTGTGACTATTTTAAGTGGTTCAAGTAAAAGAAGAAACTCCAATGGATACAGATAAACATGTACAACAGATGTCCGAGCCTTTAAATATAAACTTGTCACCAGGTTAGCAGATTCAGCTTAAATAAACTGAATATTATTTGTTGTTTGCAAATTCATGAACAGCATCACAGATGATAGTAAAAATAACAAAAATACTGAATCTGAGGAAAATTCAAAACAGAAGGTCCCCAATCAAATGGCAAAATCAAAAGCTCAAACACACCAAAAGAATGGATAACAACTGTCATATTCCTGACCATTTTATTTATCATGTTTTTGGTTGTTTTATAACAAAACTTCAACAGTTATAAGCTTATAATTTTGCACTTGGATTTTATTCAAAAATGAACCTAGAGTTTTTAACCGGATTTTCGAAGGAAAAATTGGTTATTGATTTCGGGATGTATGGCGGGCGGGTGGGCTGCTGCCAAACAGTGTCCATTCATTAACATGAAAACGCTTTGACGAAATTTTTTCAAATTTAGATATGTTGTTTCCTGTGACATGTGTGACTAAATGAAGGTCAATTTCAATTTTCATGATTTTAGCTTTTCTCGTTTTTGAGTTATAGCCCTTTCCAGTAGTCAAAAGTGGTACTTTGTTTCTATTTTTAGTGGTTCAAGTAAAAGAAGAAACTCCAATGGACACAGATGAACATGAACAACAGATGCCAGAACCTTTAAATATTGACTTACCAGGTGAGATGATTCAGCTTTAAAAAATCTATAACATTATTTGCCACTTGCAAATTCTAGTTTTCATAGACATATTTCAAATGAACAGCATCACAGATGATAGAAAGTGATTTCAATTTTGTGTTCGGCTGCTGTATAACAAAACTTAATTACCTGTAAACTTTTTTTTTGCACTTGGTTATTTCAAAAAGGATCCTAGATTTTTAATCATTTACTGTGCTTATCCTGAAGGCTTTGGCCTATTTCTATACCAATTGCTCAAACAGTTTACAAAATTGCAGTTTGAATTCATCTCCACAAAATATTTTATCAAATTGCTTCAATGAAAGGTTGTTAGTATGAAGTGAGTGCAGTGAAATAAGAGTAATGCTTACCATCCAACTTCATTAACTCAATGTCCTATGGACATATTTTCTTGTTCAGCATTATTATAGGAAAATCTGTTTAAGGCGCATAGATTTGCCTAGTCAAATTTTTACTTAGTAACTTTAAAAATGTAGAAATGGAACAAAATTAAAAGTTACTTGAATTTTTTTTGCTCCATGTTTAAGGCCTCATTGTGACTTTGAGATGAAGAACAGCAATAAAAGCGCTGTTCCTTTGCTTTTTGTGTTTTTTGCTGTGCATTTGATTTTGTGTCATGGATGGATACCCCTCATCCTTTATTTTCTCTTATCTCTTTCATCTTTTTTTCAGACAAATGTGTAACAAAGGAGTGGATCTTTAAAAGCATTATACAAGGTCAAATTCTCAAAGATGTTCATGCTGCCATTGAAATTATTCATGATAATGATGAACAGTCTACTATAGCAGAATTCCAGGAATTTGAACAAGAAAACCATATACATATGCAGACCTCTGGTTCCAGCTCGGGGAAAAGTTTGTTGAAAAGACAGAACTGTGTTTATTGAGGTAAATTTTTAACAAATATGTCAAGACAATTAGCTTCAAAGGGAAATTTTACCCATTATTATCAGATAAAGAAAGAAAGCACTAGTTTAATATCTAGATACATACTTACTGATAACAAGAAGAGGAACCAATATTTGCCTTGCAAGTTTTGCAAGACTATCATTGTGGCACACAATCTTTGGAAACATAAGTCATGCAAAAGAAACCAAAGGGTGTCAAAAGTTATAAACCAATTTAAAATTATTATTACCTTTTGGCATGTTCAGATGAGCTTATAGAATCAGTAATTTCAGACCTCAGAGATGATATTGATTCTGAAAAAATGAAATATGATACTCTTATATTGGAGTTCAGTCAAAGAAAATTAGAAAAAGAACCATCAATATATTGGAGACTCCATGAGAGAATTAACTAGATTTGTTATAGCTATATGCAGAAAATAAGACTCCACAGTAAAAAAATTATCTCAGTGTATTACTCCGACATGTTGGTCTTCAGTTATTCAAGGCTGTTAAAAAAATTGCATGGTATGACTATAAAGCATGTATGTTCACAATGCCATCACTGGCACTGAAAGTAGGTCATAGTTTATGTAGGTCAGCTGAATTGTTAAAGAACAATGCAATTCAGAAAGGTGACAAAGTTACTAAAGAGAGATCCAGCTTGTTTCTTTATCTTTACCAAGATGAATGGAAAGACACATTTTGAGTCTTGCCAAAGACTCATGGCCTTCTCAAGCTGAGTGCAACTCTATCCAACTGTTGTTGTCTCTTGTAGAAGATGTTGTAAAATTGTTTACTTGCATAAAAATGCAAATACATGAAGTGAAGAAAAGAAATATATATATAAAGTCAGGAAAAGAGATTGCCAAAATCATCGTGTGTGAACACTTACTCAAGATTATGTAAGCTTGTGTTATCAAATACTATTCTTTACAATCATAACAGGTCTGGAGAAGCTGATTCTCTAAAAAAAGCTCTTTTGCAAGGTTTACTTAATCCAAATGTAGATCAAGTGAAAAAAACATTGACTACTTTCGAACAACATTTATGTAGGTCACACATTGGTGTACACACTAGAGGGAAATGTGGAAGGAAGGTACTGGGTAGCAATTTTATTCACAAGAAGAATGAAAGAAGATGTAGAATACTTGATTGAGCTTCACAGAAAGTTAAACTTATAAAGTATATAAATATTTCTTCAAACATTTAGCTCAACCCTGTACAAGGGGCCTCGGTGGCCAAGTGGTCTAAGTAGTCGAACTACTGTAACACTAGCATGTCAACTCCGAGGTTGTGAGTTTGAATCCCGAACGTGGCAGGTGCACTTGACTCCAATCTTAATTGACAAGGATTGACAAAGTTCATGGGTAGTGATATTCCTGAAATCACCATTATTTCTGAGCTTACAGTACATAATTATAACATATGTTTTTAAATTCATAAAGTCATATAAAGTCAGGGGAGGGTTGACATATTTTAACAAAATGTCAAAAATTTGAATATTAGCTGGTTATTTTAGCCACAAAAGAGAAGATACCTATTGGGAGTTACTGTAAATTCAGAAATTAATGCAGGGCTGCCAAGTCTCATGCATTTTCATGCTTATTTGGATGCATTTTCCTTTAATCTATTGTTTTTTTCTCTTTAATCTTTACAATTTTGTCAAAATCGCACGCATTTGCTTCATGAAAACGTGACAGTACTGTTAATGTGTGCATTTATTATTTATGATATTTGAAATAGTTACTGTGGTTAGTTGTGATGATCTGTGTCTGTCAAAATGACATTTATAAATGAAAAAAACTGAAGAAGAAAAAAACTGCTTCTGTCATGATAGTCTTCTTTATTAAATATGCATTTATGAAAGCAATGCAAGATATTAACTTGGAAATGGCTTCTTATCAAAGACCCATACTTATTTATTTACATTATAACTTTGATGTATAGATGCTGAAATAGATGACGATATCGATGATGAAGAATTAGAATCTTTTGACCAAGTTAACAGATATGACAGATTGGAGACAAGCAAGTACCTTAGGTTAGTTAAACATGTTGTAACATGTATACTTATACACAGAGTTAATTGAATAAAAAATTGTATCATTTTCATTTGAATACAAGAAAAGCCATCTTTGTTAAACTGTGCATGCTTTTATACATGTAAGTTGTGATAACAAGTTCATTAAACAATTGTTAAACTGTGCATGCTTTTACATGTAAAGTACTGCTACTTAGTTCATCAAACAATTGTTAAACTGTGCATGCTTTTACATGTAAAGTACTGCTACTTAGTTCATCAAACAATTGTTAAACTGTATATGCCTTTATAGCAAGATTTAAATTTTTGTATACGTGCGGTGAGACTGATATAATTAGAATTATTGTAAAATTCATAAGCGACATGTACAATTCTAGAAATGCTTTATTGAGTACTAAATAACTTTGTGGTACCACCTCCTCAGCAGAAATTATATACATTTATTATTGTAACAATATTTTGTTTTAACAATGGAGGGGATATACAAATATATATATACAATGTTTATAAATGTGGTCAGATATATGTTTGTATGTTTATGTATATGTCTTGGTAACAATCCTATAATTTTGGATTTTAAACCAATACACTTTTACATTGATCGTGATTCAAGGTAGAGCATCTGAAAATAAGTTTGTAGATTTTGAGATTGTACAATTTATATATATGCATGTAAATAGTTTGTAGTCGCAAATAATGAAATTTCTTCAAATGTATTATTATTTTTCTGTTTCAGACTCCGATCTTACATATTCATTCTACTGCAGCAGGGTAGTGCAAACTTTAGAAGATCTTAGAACATTCCGACCACAATTATTCACACTACTGATAAAAAACAATGTATCTATTGTAAAGCTATGAAAGTCAAAACTAAATTGGGATACCCAGTATGTTCTTCACATAAATGCTCCAAATGTGATGTGCAATTTCGTTCTAAAAATAGATCTTGTTTTGTTCCTACGTATCATTCTCATTTGCTGGACCAGGAAGCGGCTTCAAACATCCAGTTGGGACAACAAAACATACATTTACATTGCAATGCTTTAACTATTTGAAATACAGCTTGTCATTTTGTAAAGGATTATTATAGAAAAGTCATCAGTTATATCTGTTGAATTTGATAGAGATACTCTATTATTTGTGCTTAAAATTGACAAAAAGGAAGCCTAAAAGCATCAGCAGAGAATGTTCTAGAATAACAATTGCATGCTCAATAATCCATCTTCACCCAAATATAAATATCTAACCATAAGTGATAACTTTGAAGAAGTGGTAAAGCAACTGAAATGATAATGATGAGGGGAAAGTAGTTTTCCAAGCTATTTCATGTCGAATAAAGTAAAAGATTACTATTTTCCTTTTTACATTTTTGTTTTGTTTGTTTTGGGGGAAATCTATGGACCTGACTCAACTTGCATGTGTTTAAATCTGTTTGTTATATTCACCATGCCATGTGATCGTAAACATTGTAAACATTGTCAAAGATCTTCTCTGAAACTACCGGGAACCAATTTAACCAAACTTGGAGTGAATGATTCTTATTGTATCCAGTATAAGTGGTTTTTGTCGAGCCTGCGACTTCAGTCGCAGAAAGCTGGACATAGGGATAGTGATCCGGCGGCAGCGTTAGCTAACTTCTGAAAAGTTTTAGAAGGAAGAAGATCTGGATGCTGCATACTTTGTATATGGATGCCTCATGTTATGAAGTTTCCGTCAGTCACATGTCCAATGTCCTTGACCTCATTTTCATGGTTCAGGGACTACTTGAAAAAAAAGTTAAGATTTTTTGTAATGTTAAATTCTCTCTTATTATAAGTAATAGGATAACTGTATTTGGTATGTGCGTACCTTGCAAGGTCCTCATGCCCGTCAGACAGTTTTCACTTGATCTCGACCTCATTTCATGGATCAGTGAACAAGGTTAAGTTTTGGTGGTCAAGTCCATATCTCAGATACTATAAGCAATAGGTCTAGTATATCCCCTGTATGGAAGGACTGTAAGGTGTACATGTCCAACTGGCAGGTGTCATCTGACCTTGACCTCATTTTCATGGTTCAGTGGTCAAAGTTAAGTTTTTGAGTTTTGGTCTTTTTTTCTAATACTACATGCAATAGTTCAACTATATTTGGTGTATGGAAATATTTTATGATCTATTTTTCAGTCACGCAGATTTTATTTAACCTTGACCTCATTTTCAAGGTTCATTGCTTAGTGTGAAGTTTTTGTGTTTTGGTCTGTTTTTCTTAAACTATAAGCAATAGGTCAACTATATTTATTGTATGGTGTTACCTGTACATGCCTGCCTAGCATGGTTCATCTGACCTTGACCTCATTTTCATGGTTCATTGGTTAATGTTTAGTTTTCTTGGTTAATGTTAAGTTTATGTGACAGTTGTAACAAGCATTCTGAGAGTATTGAATGGCAATACATAGTCCCCTACCGGGTAAAAATTCATTATACTGAAACAAAATGCTAACTTGTTCTATAACTTGTCATGGTGTAAACAAAAAGTAAATATCATGTCAATATTTTCAAACATGACTAAAAACAGTGTTGAAAACTGAATATATGAGTGAATTTTTCAAGTCCAAGGACCATAACTCTGCACAAAATTATTAGACCGAAACAAAAATTTGAACTTGATCTGTAACTTGTCATGATAAAACTATATACCAATTATCAATCAATATCTTATAAGCATGATGAAAAATAACATTAGATATGATTAATAGTTCTCTAGAATTAGATATGATGTAATACAGTGTATATCTATTTTCAAATTAAAATCAGATATAATTAATAGTTCCAAATATTTTTTTCTTTCATTTGTCACAAACGAATATAGATTTGTAACTTATCTATAAAATGTCATCAACTTTTGTCTACACAATGTAATGTATTGAAATATATACATTAATAAAAATAGATATTCTAATTAAAGGATTTCTCTTCATAATTGTCGAGCCTGCGACTTTTGTCGCAGAAAGCTCGACATAGGGATAGTGATCCGGCGGCGGCGGCGGCGGCGTTAGCTAACTTCTCAAAAGCTTTATATTTTAGAAGGTGGAAGGTCTGGATGCTTCATACTTTGTATATGGATGCCTCATGTTACGAAGTTTCCGTCAGTCACATGTCCAATGTCCTTGACCTCATTTTCATGGTTCAGTGACTACTTGAAAAAAAAGTTAAGATTTTTTGTAATGTTAGATTCTCTCTTATTATAAGTAATAGGATAACTATATTTGGTATGTGCGTACCTTGCAAGGTCCTCATGCCCGTCAGACAGTTTTCACTTGACCTCGACCTCACTTCATGGATCAGTTAACAAGGTTAAGTTTTGGTGGTCAAGTCCATATCTCAGATACTATAAGCAATAGGTCTAGTATATTCAGTGTATGGAAGGACTGTAAGGTGTACATGTCCAACTGGCAGGTGTCATCTGACCTTGACCTCATTTTCATGGTTCAGTGGTTATAGTTGAGTTTTTGTGTTTTGGTCTGTTTTTCTTATACTGTATGCCATAGGTCTACTATATTTGGTGTATGGAATGATTGTAAGGTGTACATGTCTAGCAGGCAGGTGTCATCTGACCTTGACCTCATTTTCATGGTTCAGTGGTCAAAGTTAAGTTTTTGAGTTTTGGTCTTTTTTTCTAATACTATATGCAACAGTTCAACTATATTTGGTATGTGCGTACCTTGCAAGGTCCTCATGCCCGTCAGACAGTTTTCACTTGACCTCGACCTCATTTCATGGATCAGTGAACAAGGTTAAGTTTTGGTGGTCAAGTCCATATCTCAGATACTATAAGCAATAGGTCTAGTATATTCGGTGTATGGAAGGACTGTAAGGTGTACATGTCCAACTGGCAGGTGTCATCTGACCTTGACCTCATTTTCATGGTTCAGTGGTTATAGTTAAGTTTTTGTGTTTTGGTCTGTTTTTCTTATACTGTATGCCATAGGTCTACTATATTTGGTGTATGGAATGATTGTAAGGTGTACATGTCTAGCGGGCAGGTGTCATCTGACCTTCACCTCATTTTCATGGTTCAGTGGTCAAAGTTAAGTTTGTTCAGTTTTGGTCTTTTTTTCTAATACTATATGCAATAGTTCAACTATATTTGGTGTATGGAAATATTTTATGATCTATTTGGCAGTCACGCAGGTTTTATTTGACCTTGACCTCATTTTTACGGTTCATTGCTCAGTGTTAAGTTTTTGTGTTTTGGTCTGTTTTTCTTAAACTATAAGCAATAGGTCAACTATATTTGTTGTATGGAAGAATTGTTAGCTGTACATGCCTGCCTAGCATGGTTCATCTGACCTTGACCTCATTTTCATGGTTCATTGGTCAATGTTTAGTTTACTTGGTTAATGTTAAGTTTATGTGACAGTTGTAATAAAGCTTTATATTTAGGACTATCAACATAATATCAATGATAAGAAAAGAAGGCGAGACATTTCAGTGTGTGCACTCTTGTTTTTTTATATAAATAGCATTCAGAAAATAAATTTATACTAAATAACAAACAAACCTGTCAAAACATTCTTCAAATAATTTAACAAAGAATGTCTTTTAAAAAATGAGCTATCTCCCTTTGTACGGAAATATGGTTTAACATAGTACTCTGTAACATTAGATATGGTCGGACCATAACTCTGGACTAAATCATCAGACGGAACAAAATTCGATTTTGATCTATAACTTGTCATGATAAAACTATATACCAAATATCAAATCAATATCTTCAAGAACTAAGAAAAAAAGTGTGGAAAGCTGATTTTCCGGACTGACGGATGGACAGACAGACAGATGGACAGAGTGCAAACCTAAAGTCCGCTTCGACTTCATCGGTAGGGGACTAATAAAGCTTTATATTTAGGACTATCAACATAATATCAATGATTAGTAAAGAAGGCGAGACATTTCAGCGTGTGCACTCTTGTTTTTATTCTGGACAGTCAACAAACATGGCTAAAAGTAGATAAAAGGGGGAAAAAGCAGTTTTCAGCTAAAATCTTAAAACTTAAGCAATTAGAGCAAAGATGAAAAATGATCAGTATGTGCTAGCTTATTTTCAGACGAATCGTACAACCTAATTAGGAGATATTGCCCCTGAAATATTATTTTTTATGAAATTTATCAGTTTTTGGTTGAAAATAACATAAGGATCATTCACCCCAAGTTTGGTTGGAATTGTTTCAATACTTTTAAGAGGAGATCTTTGAAAAAGTTTATGACGACAGACAATCATTACGGACATCAAGTGCTGGCAATAATAAACCAGTTGAAAAGAGATTGATTCAACTGATAAATGTTATGTGAACAAACAAACAAACAAACAATCAAACACTCACACAAAGAAAAAACATGAAGAAAGTAAAAAAAGACACAAAGCACCTATCCAAGAGTTCTCCCAATAACTGAAATCTAGTAAAAAAAAGATGGATGGATGGTTGTTAAACATCCACTGGCAAATTGAATGCATACTAGGATGAGAACATGATAATATCATATGAATATAAACCCTGCTTTGTAGTAGAGCTGTTATGAGCTGGGTTTTAAAAGTGCTACTTCACAAGGTCTGTATAAATATATGTTACCCTACCAAGACACATTATTCATAGATCTTCATACTCTGAGGTGACCAGTCTTTGGTCTTACTCATAAATGCTGTGTGTCTAGCGTAGTGCAGCAAATACTAATTTTCAAGATTTTGGTTTGGTCCTGTAGAGGATAAAACCTACAACTTGCAGCACTCTATGAGACCACAGAGGCCGTTGTAAACCAGTGGTGTCCTGGTGTGCTGTTGTAAATTAATGGGAGGTGTCCGTTGTTATTCTGTGGTTTACATGTTGTAATGTACTATTATATTATTTATTTATGTATTGCCCTTTGATGAGTGTTCTTGCGTTTGTTTTTACTGTATTCCTGTCATGTAGTGTTGTCATTTAAGCGGTATTTTAAACATTGCCATGTAAGCAGGTCTGGCTAGCCATAAAACCAGGTTTAACCCACCATTTTTATGGCCCTGCAACAAAGTTGTCGGGCCCATATAGTTTTACCCTTGTCCGTCATTTTGTCATTCTGCAACAAACCATTATACACAATTTTTTTCTAAATGCCTTCAGATATTGGGCTGATTTTTGGTATGTTAACTTGAGTTAACCATGATGAGTTACAGATCAAGTTTAAATTTCCTTCCGCTCTGTTAATTTTTGCCGAAATTACAGGCTATGAACTTGATAAATTGTTGAAAATCACAATTATACGGATTTTTTTCTTTACACCTTCAGATATTGGGCGTATTTTTTAGTATGTGAGTTAACCATGATGAGTTATAGATCATGTTTAAGTTT